AAAAAAAAAAAAAAAAAAAAAAAAAAAAAAAAAAAAACAAAGAAACAAACCAAAACAAAAAAAATTAATGAGAAACTACAAGACATGAACAGATGAAAGAAGTGAACATTTTGGAGGATAGCTGTATTTCTAATCTCAGTACACCAGTGGGATGGTATGATCAACAGGCCCTTCTCTGTGCCTTTGGACTTAAACCTTCTTGAACTTTTTTGACTTAATTCTTCTTGAGACTACTGTACCCAGTATCTCAAGCAATGTCTTCATAAATAACACTAAATATCTCTCTTCCTATTGGCACAGAAATACTTTGCATAACATTACATGCCTGTATTACATTTTGGTTTTTCTTGCTCATTCACTCTTGGCTCTTAGACCTGTGACCAACTGCTACATTTTGGAATAGATCAAAAAGAGTCTGTTATCTCTAAGCAATCTCTAACCTTGTTTTTCCTGTTTAGTCCCACATAATTTCTTTATGTACAGTATATATCATTTCTGTGCTGATCAGTCTTCCTAAATTAGGTAACTTCTGGGTTTTTTTATGTAAAATCAGTATTGGAATTATGTGCCCCAGTAACAGCAAAAAGAGAAAAATGATGGAAGAAACTTTACGTACAAATAACTTTAAGCTTTGTCTTGTCACTACTATATTTAGTGTTTTACTTCCATCATGGTGTGGAATGGAGCATGTGCAATCAATTATTCATTCAACATTTTTTGTGGAGAAAAACAGATCTAAGTCTAGAGGAAGTGTTTTCATTAAGACACATTTTTCAGTGGAGGCATTGATCTCCAAACAGAACATTTAACCCTGCTGATGGTAGACTTGATTTTCTTAACTACCTCTCATGGACAATTAGGAATAATTTGTGGATTCTCCAGGGTTCGCTGACTGTACATTGAAAATCACTCCTCTTGCAAATGCTTTCAAAAAGCATGATTAGCCAAACTTTCTGTGGAAAGGATCAAAACAAAAGAATAAAAAAGTGCAGAGCAAGTAAACAGTGTCAGTAAAAAGCAAAATAAATAGGACATAGACAGTGGAAAAGCTTTAATCTTAAATTAGCTTTAGATGTGTCCTGCTTTTGTAATTTGAAAATAAGAAATTCTTAACACTGAAAAGTCCAACTGCTTCACTGAAAAAAAGCCAATATTCTGTCTCCTACTGCGCACCAAACACCTGCTGCACACACTGGCATTGAGCACGTGTCTGAGTAGCAACCAACTGTGCTGTTTGACTTCCTATTTGACACTTAAAGAGTGAGTATCCCCCTGAAGAACAGAACCTTGGGCCAGTTTATCTTCTTTGTCAGATCTTGTAGCCTCATATGAAGATGTCTTCTGGCTCCTCAGCTGATGCTTGTCCTGCTTGTCCACCAGATGCTTGTTTGAGGCTGCAGGCACTGAGTGGTCCCAGGGGCAGCGATTCCTGCGGGAGCTTTGGGAAGACCAGCAGCTGCAGCAGAGACATCACTGGGGTGACAGCAGCACTAACTGCTTCAAATTACACTTTAGAGAACACTTTTAGTTTAGGTCCTTTTTTGTGGTAATTTTTCTTGAAAATGAGTCATGAATCTATAAGCTGCAATTATTTACAATCGGAAAATACAAGTAGCTTCATGTTTTTATGTTTTTTCCATTTTTGTGGTGATCATAAGCTAGCTGTGGTTATTTTTATATGGCTTTGTTACTTCAATTAATATAAGTAAATGTGTGAAATTAAGTAGTGTCTGAGGAGTGTGCTGTTAGGAAATAGTAGCATTTATAAAGAATGAGCTATTCAGTGACCCTCCTAACATATGGAATTGCTTTTTTTCTATTCTTCACTGACCATGGCTTTTATAA